GCGGACACAACATCTTTGTTGGTATGTGGTGCTGAGGATTGAACCCAGGCCGCACACATGCCAGGCGAGCGCGCTACCGCTTGAGCCACATCCCCAGCCCTTTGTTGGACTTTGGATCAGAAAACCCAGCTGAGAGCAGATGCTGGGGACCCTTGATCCAGGGGTCAGGGGCTTGAATCTCTGCTCTTCTGTTCTAATAACAATAATATGGCAACAATTCAAATGGTTCATGCCCCTTGTCTCCTTCACAAAGCTCTTCCAAATGCAAGTTCATCACGGTCCTTTGCCCAGCCTTGATCATACCCGTTTTCTAGATGAGGAAGCTGAGGCTCCAAGAGGCCAAATGTTTTGTCCAAGATTGTGCACCTGGCAGGATGTGAACCCAGTTCTTCCCTGGGCTGCATGCACTTTGACCTCTGGGGAGCAGCCCGTGCAGGAGGAAGGGAAAGCAGAGAAGCTCTCTGGGTGTTCAGATCTCTGTTGTCCAACACGTTTTGGACACATGCCTTGCTATTGGCTTTGGCCTGCATGAACCGTCCAAAAGATGGGCCAAGAGGCCCTGGCCTGCTGGAGGGCTCTGGGCAGGCTCTGCGATTTCCTGGCTCCATGCCCTTGTCGTTTTGTTTGGTAACAGATTTGTGTTATATTTGTGGTGTTTTTCCAGGGCATGCCGCCCAAGGTGGAGACAGGACAGAGGAACTGCCGCTGCTTCTGTGGCACGCGTAACACTGCTGCTGTAAGGAGCAGGCTGGCACCGTGCGGCCAGAGCATGCAGGGGACTTCCCAGAATCTCCATTGTTCTTGCTGTCCTGGATCTTGTTGGAGTTCCCAGAGAGGTGCTCAGCATCACGCTCAGTGTCAGGGAGACATGGCAGACCTCGAGTGAGGCCAGGTCACTTTGACTTTCACAAATATGGGCCTTGTCAGGGAGGTGACCTGGTGACAGACAGACAGATGACAGGCAGGCAGATACACAGGCACAGTCTCCTTCAGTGCAGAATGTGAAGTGCTCCGATGGAGGAGGGAGCAAAGTGCTCTGGGAGGGACCCAGGGTGGGAGACTTCTGTGTCTGTTGGAATCATGGAGGTCTCCTTGGAGGAGGTGATGTTTGAAGAAAGAGTAGCAGTTCTCCAGGTGAGTGGATAAGAAGGGGCGGCTGAGGAAGGGAGGCCTCGGTTGCAAAGGTTCACCCTCACCCAACAGGCTGGATGCTCCCTGGGTGGGTGGGAGGGTAGGGTGATCCTCCCATGAGACCCCAGTGTTGTGTTTTGGTTTGTGTTTTGGTGGTGGGGATTGAACCCAGGGCCTCACTCATGCTAAGCAGCCCCAGCCTAGGCTAAAACTTCTGAAAAGCAGAGACTGAGTCTTGTGTATGACACTACTCTTGCCCCTGTCTGGGAGCTCCCTGAGGCTGGGTTTGTGTCTTCTATTTCTTTTGTCTTTAGATCCAAATGGAAAGGCCTCTCCCAGCGCCCCACCTTACATCCTGTTAGATCTGTGACTGTAGAAACCCTGCCTTTAAAGTATTTTAATTTTATTTTATTATTTTTAAATTTTGAGACAGGGTCTGGCTAAGTTGCTGAAGATCTCACCAAGTTGTTGAAGCTGGCCTCAAACTTGAGATTCTCCTGCTTCAGCCTCCTCAGCCCCTGGGATTATAGGAGTGTGCCATAATGCCCAGCAGGGACCCTGCCTTATACATTTATGCCTCCTTCGTGTCTGGCACATGACCTGCTATATAAAAATATAAGCTGAGTTGTAGCTCAGTGGCCCAGAATGTGTGAGACCTTGGGTTTGATCTCTAGTCCTGGCCCAGAAATAAAAAAAAAAAGAGACAGAGAAAGAAAAGAAAAGCCAACATCTATTGAGTGCTTGCTGTGTGCCTGGCATTACATTACATGTTTTTATCTCCTTCTGTCCTTTTAACAGCTCTAAGAGATAGGGACCAACATTAGCCCCACTTTACAGATTGAGAAACTGAGGATCTTGGGCAGTTCAAACGCACACAACTAGCAGGTGGTAGAGTCAGGTAGGCCGTCAGACTCTGAAACCTACAGAACCCGTGAACTCTAACCCTCGACCTCTTGTAAACTGTAAATGCACTGCATTTCCTTTGAGTTCCGTGGTTCAGCTTCCCCAGGGATAGCAGGGTCCAGCAGCCTGGGAGTCTGTGGCTTTGAAGATTCTCCCTGGGGGGTTGGATAAGGAGCAAAGCCACAGAGGGCTGTCTGGGTTCCCCGAGGGAAGGATAGAGATGTCAAGAGCACCCAGAGTTGGCCATGAGGGGGACAGAGGTGGGTTAAGGGGCAGTGAGAGATCTACAGTGATGACCTGGAGTCTGGTCTCCCCCTTCCTTTCCCTTCCTCTGTCCCTGCTGGTCCCTGTCAGTTCTTGAATGTGTCTCCACATCAAGCCTCTTGTCCTTGCTCTGACTGTGCCTAGGCTTTCTTCCTGGTCCCCACACCAGTTTCTCCTCCCCGCCCCTTTCTCCACTGGCCACTGGTTAGCATTCTATAAAAGATTTGGTTATTTTATTCCAGCACCCCCAAACCTTCCCTGGCTCCCTAGACCCAGGGGCTCCAGCCCAGATCCCCAGCCTGTGCTCCAGCCCGGGGTGATCTGTTTCCACCTGCCTTTTAGGCCTTGTCCCTCTCGTCTCCCGCTCCAGACTGCTCAGTGCCTGGGTCCTTTCTCTCTCTTTCATTCATTTCTTTTTTTCTTAATAGATACAACATTTTTATACCTTTATTTTATTTATTCATTTTTACGGAGTGCCAAGGATTGAACCCAGTGCCTCGCACATGCTAGGCCAGCGCTCTGCCCCTGAGCCACAACCCCAGCCCCATTGATGTCCTTTCTTATCTGGACCTTTACAGACCCCAACTGTCCTCTCCAGAAACGCTCACCCCTCGTCAAAGGCCGACTCATCCCTTTTTCATTTTCTTTGGACAGAGTTAAGTCTCTCCGGTCACTCACTCCTTCTAGAAGGCACGTCTTTTACAGGCAGTTCAGCAGACTTCAGGTTATTCCCTCAATGTGACTGCGAGATCCTCAAGGAGTAGACTGTGGAGTGATGATCGTGTCGCACCGAACGTGCTTGCAAGTTTGAGGCCAGATTGGGCCACTTAGCCAGACCCTGTCTCAAAATTAAAAAATAAATAAATAAATAAAAAGGGCTGGGGGTGTAGCTCCATGGCAAAGCACCCCTGGGTTCAATTCCCAGTAAGAAAAATTAAAAAAGCAAAAACAAAAATAAATAAATAGCGTCACTGTGCCTGATAATAAGGACAACCCTATATTACAGCACCAAAAATGTGCAGCGCAGGATTCTCAGTCTCTACCCTTCCAAGGAACTCTCTGGTCCTTTTTGGGCCCCAGCTGCTTGGGCAGGGGTAGTGATACTAGGAAGAATTTAAAGGCATCCCCAAATCTCAGATTCAGCACGGGTAAGGTGTCTACCTGTGACAGAGGAAGATAGAAGGCCAAGGGGAGCAGGAGAGCCAAGCACCTGCAGGCAGGGAGTGTGGGGAGGTTTGTGGGGAGAGGGAGGATCCAGGCTGTGCCGCTGGGGGAGGGGAGATGGCCGAGAGGGCTGGGAGAAGTTTGACCTTGTCAGGAATGTCAAGGGCATTAAGAAGCTTTGGGAGAACTGAGACTACATCCCCATGTTCTCTCTGAATGCAGCACCGCAGGGAGATGACCTTGGGGAGACCCAGAGCCACAGGCTGGGCTGTCCCTGGGGGATGCCATCCCTGGCCACCAGCTCTGGGAGCATGCAGTTCTAGTCCCCAAGGCAACCAGCAAAGTGGGTGCTGTGAAGGCCTTTGTAAGGGCGAGATGACTGAGCTTCAGAGAGTTCAGCAGCACTGAAGGGAGGGAGAGAAGAGCTGGAAAGGGAAGGGACGCAGCAGACCCTAAAGCTGACCTTTAACCCTTGACCTCTCCCCCTAGAGCTATATCTCAGGATGGTGTCACTGTGGCCATTGAGCTCTGTGTTGTGGGAGATGGAGGAGGCTCATGAGGCTCGACAATATCAGCTCCGCTCTGTCCTGGGGTCAGAGGTGGCCCAGGCCAAGGCCTCTATAAGCCATTAGAGCTCAGATGACAGTTTGATTTGTGGGCCCAGGAAAGGCCCCTGTTAAGCCCGAAGTGGGAGGAAATGGGTGGTGCCTAGAGATGGGCAGTAGGATGGGCCAGGGCAATTGGATTTCTGATCATGACCAGAACAGTCTTTTTTTTTTGTACCAGGGGTTGAACCAAGGGGTGCTTAACCACCAAGTCACATCCCCAGCCCGTTTTATGTTTTATTTTGAGACAGGGTCTTGCTGAGTTGCTTAGGGCCTCACTGAGTTGCTGAGGCTGGCCTCAAACTTGAGGTCTTCCTGCCTCAGCCTCCGTAGTGTCTGGGATTACAGGTGTGTGCCACTGTGTCTTGCCCCAAGGACACTCTATCAGTGAGTTTCATCCTCAGAGCACAAGTGGCCCGTTGTGAAGAGGACAATGTTACAATGTAGAGCTTGGCACAACACAGGAGGAATAGACTGGGCTTAGAAGTCAGGAAATTTGGGTTCTCAACCCCGTCTGGTGGCAGGAGAGCCCCTTAACTTTGAGTTTTCCCATTGACAATTAGCAGATGTGATAGCCCATTTGGCTCATCTCGCAGGGAGCCGCCTGACTGATTTGAGAGGACCCCATTCAAATGTGAGATGGGGGTGAGGGTAACCTGGGTTCTCCGTTAGTGAGATGAAGCCCGTGAGGATCAATCAGCCCATCACAGGCCTCTCTCAGCACAAGCTGATGTCATTATCCCCATCAGGGCCTATGTCATTAGCAAAATCCCCACAGGGACATGAAGAAGCCATGACGGGACTGGTCTCTGGGAAGGACAGACCAGAGAGGGGTCATCCTGGCAGACTGGGTTGTCACCCTGTTTTTTCAGGACCCTTTGGGGAAAGAATTCAGGACTTGGAGCCCAGCAGAGAACAGTAATAGTAACAAAAACAATAGCTCACATTTACCCGGCGCTCTCCGGGCGTCAATTTCTGCTGTGAGCATTTTATCTGCATTAATTTTCTGCCTCACAGCCTCATGCGGAAGGCACTGCTTCTATCCACACTTTACAGGTGCAGAAACCTGAGCAGCGACATGACTTTCCTTTGGTCCCAGAGTCCCTCAGTGCTGGAGTCGACTCAGTCCTGCCTGGTCCAGGCCTTCTGCTGTGCGACGCCTCAGCAGCCCATCCTGAAGGTGACCTCCTTTGCCCCACTGAGGCTGGACGGAGGTTCCCTGCTCCCTACGCGACAGAAAACCCAGATGTGAGTCCTGGCTGTTATTCACTGCGTGTACAATTCATGTGTGAAATTTGGGGGACAGACATTTGTTGCCTACCTGTAACTGCCACGTTTAATCTAAATCTCACCGCAGCTACTTATGAGGTGGGCATTAGTTCCTCCATTTTACAGCTGGGAAAGTTGAGGCCCAGAGCAAGGAAACAAATGACCCAAGGCCACACTGGAAACAGGCTGCAATCGAACCCAGCCTGTCGGATTCAGGGACTTAGGTTCCCTCCATTCCCCTCCACTCCTCGAGGTGTGATCCACAGAGCTTCAGTTCCTGGGTGTTCATAAGTTTTATGTGAAAAAAAAAAATCTGTAGTCAGAGAATGTTCTTTGGAACTCCCTTTAGGAAATTCTGTGTTCATCCTGTTGCTTTCCCGACAGCAAGAGCAATCATAGTAACACCGTAAATGGGATCTTCACTATCATGACAAACTGTTCAATCGCAGTATTATTTTTCTGCTTATGTATTTGGGGGAGTGCAAGAGTTTGGGTCTGGAATGCCTCCCAAAGGTTCATGTATTAAAGGCCTGGTCCCAGGGAGGCGCTGTGGAAAGGTGGTGTGCCTTTAAGAGGTGGGGCCTAGTGGGAGATCTTTAGGCTATTGGGAGCATATCGTTGAAGGGCATGTGAAATCCCAGCTCCCTCTTTGCTTTTCTCTTGTCCCCCTGCTTCCTTGAGAGGTTGTTCCACCTCATGTTGCTGCCATGATGGGTTCCTTTGCCCAAAGCAAGAGGACCAGCTGATCAAGAGACCTTCCAAGAATTGGGGCTGTGGCTCAATGGTAGAGCGCTGGCCTAGCACACGTGGGGCGCTGGGCTCGATCCTCAGTGTCACATAAAAATAAAATAAAGGTATTGTGTCCACCTACAACTAAAAAATAAACTTTAAAAAAAGGTATTGTGTTCATCTAAAATAAATAAATAAACCTCCTAAACTGTGAGTCAAAATGGACCTTTTCTCTTTGGAAGTTGATTCTCTCTAGGGCCTGCCACAGTAATGGAAAGCTAACCCAGGGAGTGTTTTCGTGAAGTTGCCCCTCCCTTGCCCCCCATTGAAGGACCTGGAAAGCGGAAGGCACCAGCCACGTGGTGAGCTGGGCCCTGAGTATCGGCCTCCTCTTTCTCAGTGCCTGCCTTCACCAGCTTCTGCAAGACAGTCTTGAAGGCCTCATCCTAGGGCCCCCCCACCCTGCCACTCTGCCTTTCTTGGTCTTACAAGACTTAGCTCACACCACACACTGTGCAATGCAAATAAAGTGTGGGCCATTTGCTTTGGGGTACCCCCATTCATTTTTAAAAAACCAACCTTAATGAGTTATAATCTACATGCCATGAATCACCCATTATCATATTCACTTGGAAGTTGTTTATTATAATTTCTTCTTTTTTTCTTTTTCTGTTTTTGGAGGCAGGGTCTCCGTAAGTTGCCAAGGCTGGCCTCAAACTTTTAATCCTCTTGCCTTAGTTTCCCAAGCCACTGGGAATACAGGCATAAACCACTGTGTCTGGCATATTCTGATTTCTTCTTTATATAAATAACAACAACAACACCAACAATAAAGGTGAAGTAAAAACATTGTGTCTCTGGGCATGTTGGCACACACTGTAATCCCAGCAACTGGGGAGGCTGAGGCAGGAGGATCCCAAGTTCAAGGCCAGTCTCAGCAATTTAGGGAGATCCTGTCTCAAAATAAAAAGTAAAAGGAACCAGGGAGGTAGCTCAGTGGTAAAGTGTCAATCCCTAAAAAGGACCCCAAATTAAAAACAAACAGAAAACCACCTGTGCTGTTAGCACCCATGTCAGCACCTGGGCTTCTTGAGCCCCCTTGGACATGCCTGTACACCCTTCCTGTCGTGTTACTGTTTGTATCAAGAGGCACAGCAGAAGTGAAAGTGAAAGGCTTCATGGGAATGTGAAAGGGATCACCAGGTCGGCCACTGCCAGCTGCTTGTCCTGAGCCTCCGATTCCTGGTCTGTGAATTGTGAATGATAACACACCTGACTTCAAGGGGTGCTGGGAAACCTAAGGGGTATTTTTATTCTGTGTCCGTCGAGTGTTTCGAACGCGTCTTGGTGAAGAAATACCAATGACAGCACATCTCACTTGGATGTGACCTGGGGGACAGATGGAAATCACTGCTGTTCCCAGGCCAGCGGCTGA